TTGTGCTGTATTTAGTGAAAGGGATTGAGGCTGTTATATTTCGATCATGGACTTGAGAAGAGGAGGAAGAAGATTTTGCTCAGCCTGCCTACTGTTCCCGGAGTCGGCGACACCCGACGGATCTGATCCGTCGAGGGCGCCTCTTTTGGTACCATTCTCAAGTTTAATATTTCACAGTCAATGCCGTGTGGCGTGTGCTGATCCGACCCTAACTCCATCGTAATCGATCTCAGAAGAGAGCTTTCACACTGGTGATGTCCCTTGCCCTCTGATGGCGTCTGAACTTATGGCGGCATCCGCCACCGCAGTATCTGTTTGGATGCCTCTGGAGCAGGAGGTTATCACTGGAGCCCGATGCATTGGTGGTGGTGCTCGTACCGCTGTTGCCCGGGCTACTGACAGAGTCACACAAGAGGCCAGTCGATGGCTTAGTACTGAGATTCTGCAGCCAACGGACGCTTGATGCACAGTGTCGTCTAGCTAGTGCCCGTCTACAGACAATTGACTTTGATGTGATGTGCCCCTCTTTCTCGTGCCAAATGCTCTGGCCTCGCATACCATTTAAGCTTTTTCTCTGTGTATTATAGCTGCTACTAGATGCTTAAGATGCCGGTGCCGTCAGAATCTCACATAATCAGTGTATAGTATTAGAATGGTGGATGTCGGAAGAAGAACCTCGCCGGCTTGACGGACGAGAAGGAGGGATGACGTAAGAAAAACCAGATGAACCCACAAGACACCTGGGGCCTCAGGTAACTAAAGAGGGCCCATCTCCCCGGCTCCTCAAATGGCTTACTGACGGAATCAGATTCTGCTGACCAATCAAATCAATAGAATGCCATTGGGTCGATGGGGCAATACGTTCACTTCACTCCAGGACCTACTATGGAGAGCCTTGACTATCAATACCTCAATCTTCTCCATGATGTGGTATATTGCGTCGATCTGGACTATACCAGACCACACCATTAAGGATCTGAACCGAAGAGGAAGGGCCTATCTTTGGTCAGGTGACCTGTCAGTGAATGAAACCAACTATATCCCCAAGATTGCTTGGCATTTTATCACCGTGATGAGGAAACCTTCCAAAGGGGATAACTAGGGATTATCGATCCCAAGCAGGATTCAAACGAAAGCCCTTCAGATCAAATGGATAGTCAAGCTACTAACTCAACCAAGGCTAGCATGGCATAAACTACCATCTTCGCCTGAATAGAACGCCCGGTCATTATCGCTGTATGTAGGCTGCAAGTTGGACCGAATACGGCTATAAGGACAGGGCGTTCTATTCGGGTGAAGACAGTAGCGCTATACAGCATAAGATCTCTAATAGCCCATATCCAAAGACCGACCAACATGTCTGGCCTGTTCTGGGTTATGAATAAAGAATGGAGCTGCCCCAAAACCGGCCGCAAAAAGCGATCACTCAGCACTCCGCAGAATGAAACACGACTCCCTACTACCCACTGGACTGCTCTACTTTACATATGGAGAGAAATCGTGCCGGAAAAAAGTAAAGAAACCCAAATCTAAAGAAGAAGTCCTACGCCAGCCCCTTTTTAGGAATTCATGCGTGAGGGAATCTGGGGACCATCCATCCACTGTCACTCTCATGGGTGAGACATGGCGTATGGCAGGTAAGTCACATATGCGATGAAGACAAGAGACACTGGATCGATGGACAAACTCTTATGAGTCACTTAAAACTTAAAAGGCTGTCACCATCGCGGCGAAAACCTTCAAACAGTAATTAATATCACCCCGGACAGTTGGGAGGACCTACTAAAAGAAGATTTCACATGAGAGTCAGGAGAATGGAGCATTTTGAACCAAGTCTACCACTTCTCCCATAGATCGCTAGGACTAGACCTCCTTTGCACATTTACCTCGTTCCCGGTGAACCTAGCCAACCCCATCATCTCCCCCTCCACATCCATAACACAGACCCACATTGGTCAGTGCTCAACACATTCACGCTCCGGAATGTCAGAGCCTTGGGCCTCTGGCCTAAGACAATATTTCAAATGGAGATGTGGAGGGGGAGATGAGAGGGTCAGGCCCATTCATGTGGGTCGAGCTGCAACTCCAGCTCGACCCACATGAATGGGCCTGACCCTCTCATCTCCCCCTCCACATCAATAACACAGACCCATAATGGTCAGTGCTCAACACATTCATGCTCCGGAATGTCAGAGTCTTGGGCCTCTGGCCTAAGAAAATCTTTCAAATGGACACTGCAATCCAAGCGTTGCAATTCGACCCACATGAATGGGCCTGGCCCTCTGCCAAGAACAGACAGAACTCGGCAAAATTCCCACTCACGTAACAGACTACACGGTCAGAATGGGCTACACTATACTGCTGAGGACAAAGGACCCTGAGGGGCTCAGCCTGTAATCAAACACAGACGGGCTCAAATGAATAGGCTCCAAAGCGGACCAAATCACCAAGTTTACCGCCACGGTGGCAAAAGTACAGATCGATTCGCCCAGTTAAAATCACCAAGTAGTTAAAATCACAAGTAGTTAAAATCACAAGTCTCCTATCATGGCTCATTGCCTACGCGGCACTGCCAGGGAACAACTGGCTACACATCAGAAGAAGAAGAAGGAAAAATGACCCAAACAGCACAAATCTGTCATTCGTAATGCTCAGACAAGGAACAGGAAGACTTCATACACTGCCTGATCAGATGTAAGAAGGCAACAGACTATAATTGGGCTAGAGCATCCGTCCTATGGGACCATCATTTGTCCTCGTCCTCGTCCTTGCCGGAACACACAATCCAAATATTACTCTTATCAACTAACGCCCCTACTCACTCTGGCAAAATTTACGGAACGCATCTGGTCTGGAACTTCGGACAAATGCGTAAGGCGACACTCTGCTCTGGGTAATATGGAAGGAAAGAGGCTGCAGCAGAACACTGGAGAACTCATGTAATCCGCGTAAGAAGGGATGGGCGACAAGTAAATCACTAATGGAGGCGGAGATTCTACTACGTCAGTGGAGAAAAGTCAAGATCCAAATTGAATTGCAGAAAACAATCTGGACAAGGAGCAAGAACTTGGGGCAAAATTTTACGCGAACCTGGCTGGCCGGAGGAAAGATAGCAGACATTCAAGGACTTTATCGCCCGGTGGAAGGACTGGCACAACTCTGCTCGGACCCAGGGACCAAGTGGTACTCACCATCAGAACCACAAGACCTCAGAAAAGCAACATAGTTCTGCCACAAGATCAAACTTAAGGAGACGCCTACCCACGACCGGGCAGGGGGCAGGGAAGGGAATTCAGTTGCAGTTTGTGTTCTCTGGTTTTCTTGCATCCCTGTCCAATATCTGAGAGGTTCACTCACTACGAGAGAGCCTGAGAGGAATTACAGGGAAAAGGCCATGATCTGACAGTCAATCCTCCATTATTTGGGGCAATCAATGGGGCTCAGGGTTCCTTCGGCCAGACGGAAAGAAGCGTATGACACTGTGCGTAAATTGTTGTATTCTCTTGACTTGCCGGTGAAGAAGGAACCAGACTGACACTACCCACAACAGATACGGAGCCTTGCTGTGTTGGCCCTGTTTGCCTTCCTGGCGGTGCGTGAATTGTTGTATTCTCTCTACTTGCCGGATATGGAGCCCTGCTTGCCTTCCTCCCTGCCTTGTTGTCTAACAGTTTTTTTTTTTTTTTTTTTTTTTTTTTCAAACATCACATTCCAGGAGTCCTGCTTAGCGAGGTGATAAGAGCGCCCTCCTTAAGCAGGTCCCAGTGTTGAAGGCTTGTGTGCTGGCCTACCCATCCATCCACCTAGTACACACTCACTTGCCTTGGTTTGTGCTGCCTAGGTGTGCCTGGTGCATACTTCATTGTTGTGTGACCATCTTTGTGCCCTCCCGCCCGCCCACTTGTCTTGCCGTATTCTGACTATCCTCATCTTCACCCAGATACTAGAACGCCCAGTCATTATGGCTGTATTTGGGGCCACTTTCAGTCTATATACAAGCTACTATACTGACCGGGCATTCTATTCCCGACGGAAAAGACTCAGGGCATACCGTGCTGTGTGCCTCGCTGTGTTGCTGTGCGCTCGCCACCCACCTGCTATGCCTCGCTATACGTTGTGTTCTCCATGCCGCACTGCACACTTTCGCTACTTTTTTTTTTTTTTTTTTTTCTCTCTTTACAACATGATAGTACGTTTTTTTTTTTTTTTTTTTTKTTTTTTTTTTTAAGCAGGTTATGAGAACTTATGACATCAATGCATCGTCAGGAGATTCTGCAAACCATCAGGGGTTCATCCTGAGGCTCCTCATGTGTCGGTGAAAGAGTGATATAAGTTCACGAAACGGCCGCTCATCACCCCTGAGTTCTCTGTTTTTCTATTATAAATTATAATAGCCTTCTGTGTTGCATGAACCTTAGGGCATTATCCAGTCATTGTATCTAGACGTGTGCACGAACCTTAAGTTCAGGCATAGTCCAGTCAATGACATCTGTCTATGACTCTATGCCAATGTGCAATTATAGCAAATATCTCCTGTGCTGTCAATGGGGACAGAGACTGAGTAGGGAGTAACTGGTTAATATGCCCTTTATTGCAGAGAGTCCGGTAAATGACATCTGAAGAGGGGTGTACCACGAAGTACGTGGGGGTACCTAGCAGGCTCTGCTAGAGCATGGGATTAATGCAGACGAGCAATATGCAAGTTGGCGAGTATGGTTTCTTGCCTGCCAGTGGCCCCTTATTCATGTGTGCAAGTGTGCCTTTCAGGGCACGCAGGTGCGTGCATGTGCACTTTGCGCTTAACGACATGAAGATTGCCGACCTTGCACTCGCTTTGATTCTACATGGATATTAACGGAGTTGGGGAAGTCATCCCCTGCTGGCTTGAGATCGGATCTGAGCCACATTGTCATTTTGCTGCATTGTCAGGTCAGTCCTATCTGTTGTCAGTCTTCCACTTTGTCACACTGTACCTCTTCCTCATTTTGGTGATCTTTGGACTTCAAAAGTTTGCATTGCCTCGGACTTATACTGGGTATGCATCACACACACACACACACACACACACACACACACACACACACACACACACACACACACACACACACACACACACACACCACACACAATAATGCACACCTGCACACATACACACTTGCCACATATGATATCATCTGCTGAAAGGTGTCATCGCGCAGTGCATGACACAGTCCATCTTGAATAACTTAGGGCACTTGGATGCTAGCAGGCGAGATAAACACCTTCACTAAAGGGACACAACTATGGTGTAGACGTATTCACACGGGCAGCAGGTGGAAACGTCCAGTGCGCTTCCTCCAAGCTTGCAGTGTGACTCTGGCCATCCTCTTGAACTCGTTCCACTTCCTCCAACTGGCAGTTTCATCAGTTCTAGGTTGTCCCTCTCATTCCTAATAAGTAGTCTTCACCGGTTGCATTCTCGATAGTCTGTCGCCTCCAATCGCAAGAAGTCTGCAGTGTCAACATGACATCCCACTGCCAGCCTGCCACTGACTTGTGTGACATCCTGAGAGGACTATCTCAGTCTACTATCTGCACATTTAATTTGTCATGACCAGCAATACATTATGTATAATAACAGCAACTGTTGCAACAGTTCTGCCGTCCGTCTGACAATTTTTGAATACATCGGAAAGATTAATAGGCAGTAGTCCTGATGTGCGATCCACTCTCAGACACCCTTGATCTGGAGTCGACTGCTATACTCCCACCTAATGATTTGGTTTGCTGATAATACTAAGGGAGCAATTATAAAGAAGCAGCCAAGGAGTCGTAGGAGTCAGAGGAGTCGGAGGAGTTGGAGGACGAGCCGGAGGAGGAGTCTGAGGAGTCGGAGGAGTCGGAGGAGGAGGAGGACGAGGAGGAGGAGGAGGAGGAGGAAGAGGAGGAGGAGAGAGGTGGGAGCACACTGCAAGACAATTCCAGAGGGATTTATTCGTTATCTAGTACACCTGAAGCTATAATATAACATTTGTTCTGAGACCACTTAGTCTACTGCATGACACTGTCTACAGAATGAGTTCACTGTGACATGTGAAGCCTCACGCATTGATTACAATCCAGAATGCAGCGGTATGCCACACCTCTGCAGTCCGCACGCTGAACGTACTGGACGGCCTGCAGCTGTGGGGCAATGGATGTACTTGCGGTAGTACCAGCCACTTAAAGTTTGGCCTCAATAAGCCCAAAAAGGGAAGACTGTGAGGGCCTCGCCACAACACCGTCGAAATGAAAAACGAACGAATGCACCTTCCCGCGGAGGAGGACAAGATGCATCCATTACTATGAATAGCAATGGATGCATCTTACCACTTTCTGCGGCAGATGCATTCCTTCTGTTTTCATTTCGACAGTGGTGTGGCCAGGCCCTTATGGTCTAACTGAACCCCCCCCGCCCCCCTCTCCTCTGGCCCACTGACAGACTGAAAGCTGGCCATAAGACAGCGGGCAATCATGCTACAAACACACTGCAGGGATCTTTCTTTAAGACACACCACTCTCAATGAGATGATGGGCATTGCCACACCACTCTCGAAGTGTGCAAAATGAGAACGAACATCCTCAGGCTGCTGTAAGATGGCCAGATGCACCCGCCACATTTTCATCTTGCCTTCTCAGTGAGATGATGAGCACCAAGTCCGCCGCCGCAGCCGCTCCCCTGAGCTGCATCTGCACCTTCCTTCCATGATATCTTTTGCTCTCCCCTTTCCTCCTGATTTACTGTCCCACTTGTCCATATTTTTAGATTATATTTTGTGGTGTCTTATGGAGCCCCTAGGTCACATGCAATGCATCTAGCGTGCCATCACGAAGGAAGTCATGCCGGCACGCTTCAAGTTCAAATGGAGAGCGACCAGGTACAGGATCGCATGATCATGCTTTCCTGCCTGCATGGTGGCCACATGCAGACAGACAGCTCATGACGGACGGACAGGCTGACAGACAGAGTTCTGACGTACTCCATCATGCCATGCCGCCACCGAGCTGCAGTGGGGTCACTTGTCTTTTTTGGGCTAGTTCATGTAATAAACAACCTCCGTTCAAGAGGAAGAAAAGAGCAAGGCGAGCACAGAGAGCGAGGGGGGGGAGGGGGGGGGGGGGAGGGGAGGAGAGAGACAGAGAGAAGATGCCGAGGAGAGCGAGAAGAAAAAAGAGAAGAGGGAGAGGAGAGAGAGGGAGACAGAGGGGACAGAGAGCAGTGCGGATGCCTGGCAGCCAGTGCCACGCTCTCTGTGATGTATCACTCATCATCATGTCTTCAAGTTCAGCCCTCCAATTACAACGTAAGCGAAAGGGAAGAGTTGGACACGGAAAGCTTTGTACAATATTAAACCAAACCACCACTCCATCCGGACCTATTTTTTGGCAAACGAAAAGTTGCGGCCTTTGCCCGAGCCCAAAATCTACAGTGCCGCTGTGAGGGAAAAATAATTATGGTACCCTTTTCCACCGAACCGAACCGCTACCGGGGGGCCCCGGCACTGTAGATCCTGGCCTGATACTTGTACTAGACAAGAAAAATGAACAGTTTGCAGGGGGCCGTCGGAGATACTTTTACTGTGGACAGTGTGGAGGTTTCAAAATTGTTACAGAGATCAGCTAAAATCCCCTCAGTCACATGTAAACTAGCTGCCCCTGCACTAGAATTGGCCCATCCTAATTCAACTCACTAGAATTCTAGTGAGGCTCCGGAGGTTAGCAAGCAACTACCTTTATACGTTCCACGAGCAGCTCCTTACAATCACCAGCGCCTCAATAAGTGGGCACTCAATAAGTGGGCACTCAATAAGTGTACCCCCTTAGACAGGCCACCCTAAACTGTTCAGTACAGAAATTCCGTTACTTTGCAGAATTATGTTCTAACATCTAGCAAGTCTCTAAGTTAACTTAGTCTAGTTTCTTGCTTGCAGGAATACATTCTAAGTTAGCTCTAAGTGAACTTAGTCTAGTTTCTTGCCGGAATACGTTCTAAGTTAGCTTTTATAAGTTCTTTAAGTCTAATAGTATAATGGCGGGGGGGAACTAATAGAGTAACTATAATCAGACAGTGGTAAATACTAATAGTATAACAGAGGGGCAACTAACCTAATAAGACTCGGAGTGCTTGTCTGATCTAACATTTAATTGCAGAAGCCTCTATTAAGTTAGGCTTCCTAAATCTGATCCTGCCCGGTAGGAGATTAGTTATTAAACTCTTGGCATCAAACTTTTTAACTTCAACTTAGTGATCAGATTCTTTCTCTTAACTAGAGTTACAGTCACTCACTTTTACTGACTGTTACTGACTGTTACTGACTGTTACTGACTGTAACTCAGTAATAATTTAAATGTCTTTTTTTCCGTACGCTTAACACCGAGAGCCATACCAGAAGTAATAACCATGATGATCATGATGATAGTTCTTCTCAGAGCGTAAAGTTAAGAGGCGACGGACTTGTGCAAGCTACAATAACCACTCTAAGTTTATAACTTAGCACGACGTCCGGAACATTGCACGTTAGAGGCAATACGATGCTAATTATAGGCCTGCAGCTAGAGAGTTAAGCCTAGTACAAGCATCAGCTATAAATGATATTATGGTCCTTGAGGGGCAGCCACTTGCTAGCCTACGTTCCCCATACTGAGCACTAAGTTAATATAAATAACACTCTCTTGGGGGCAGCAGCCCGCTACCCACATGACACTCAAGTTGTGGTTGGGTGAACTCGCAAAAAGAAGAAGATGATGAGATGCATACGCAAACACACCCGCACAAGAGCTGTCTCTTATACACATCTAGATGTGTATAAGAGACAGGGGGGAAGGAGGAGGGGAGGGGGGGACAAAACAGGAAAGAACATTCTGGAAGAACATGCTAGACCCCAGCAGCAACCTTGTCGGTGATATTGGCATCAAGAGCTCGCTTCCTTTGTGGTTCCGGTGCAGGGGGAGGAGCAAGGAGGACGTACTCGTAGAACAAGGCGGCAATGGCAGCCCCCAGCAGCGGGCCAATCCAGTAGATCCAGTGGTCGGCCCACTGGCCCGACCAGACGACGGCTCCGAAGGACCTCGCAGGGTTCATGGATGCCCCCGTGATTGGAACAGCGACCAGGTGGTTGGCAAGAATAGTGAGCCCGATCATCAACGGAGCGATGGCCGACGGGCCGCGGGGGTCCACGGCCGTGCCCCAAATCACGAACACCAGGATGAAAGTGATGATGACCTCCGTCAAAAAGCCAGTTCCCACTTGGATATATTCTTTAGGATCCACCGAATATTCTTTAGCCTGAATGGCTTTGTTTATGAGATGTGTTCCTAGAAAACCCTGCCGAAAGCCACACACGTACAAAAAGAACTTTGCATCAGCCTGGGTTCATTCATGGGATTGCACAGATGCACAGAGGATCGACAGCTGGCCAACAATGCGGATTTTATATTTTTACATTTATATATATATTTTCACAAATTGCCCAAAATTCAAAATTGGGATACCTGCTTGAAGTTGGTGCAGCCCCCCAAAATGGCCAAAATTCTCTTCTGGAGGTGCGGAGTTTGAAAAAAAACGCCCGGACCCTCTGGGCTGTACCTTTGCACCTCAATGCCGTCCAGGTCCGTTCGAGAGGGTCGAGCGTTCTGAAAACTCCATACCCTCAGAAAAAAGTTTTTGGCATTTCTTGGGGTTGCACAGGGGGTCCATTTTCATATATTCAAAAGAAGGAAAAAAATCCATTTCGACGAAATGGTTATGGGATGGCCTTAAGGATATTATTAAGCTAAGGCTGTAGTTATTGCAACCATGATCATGATGCTGATTCATGCATGGCACCATAATTCCCATGGAACAGAAAATTTAATAAGGAAACAATTCTACTAAAAGTTAAACCACCAGTACTTCGCCCAGCTGCTATCGGGCGGCGGCAAAAAAAAAATAGAGCTGAAACATCTCTAGTCGGATGAATTTGGGCGCTTCTTTAGTGGCCCGTACGTTTCCTTAAGTCGCGGCTTGTGTACGGGCGCTATTTATTTATTTATTTATATATATATATATATATATATATATATATATATATATATATATATTCAGCCTCCTGATGAGTCGGTGAAACTCCGACGAAACAGTTTGTCACAGCCCCTCGTTTGTTGTCCTCTTCTCCCTCTCTGCCTACGGTTTACCGGGCAGTTCTATTTGACGATATATATATATATAATATTTTGGGACGGGCACAACTTTTTTTTTTTTTTTTTTTTTTGGTTAAAAATTTAATATCGTAGTGGCCCGATGGACCACAGATCAGATATTAAACTGATCAGAACAGATACTACACTTGATCTTAGCCAAAAGGCCGAGAAAGGTACAGGTGGTTTAAACTTTAAACATGTGAGACGCTCTCCAATCATGCTGATGGGAAACAGGGGGACAATTTAACAGCAAGCTACCGTCTTCCCCCGAACACAACGCACCCTTATTTTGGTAGTATCTGACCGGACATATACCTTTGATACATTCATTATCAGGGTGCGTTATGTTCGGGGACGACGGTAGTAACCTGGTGAGGCTTTGAATAAGAGTGCCCTTACCTCAGATGCGTTGGGTGAAATGCCAGCGATGAGACCCGATCCAAAAATAGCACCAACAATTTGGGCAACCCAGTACATGATGGATCTCATCAAGCTGATTCGGCCGGTGAGCAGCATCCCAAAGGTGACAGCAGGATTGATATGGCCCCCGGACACGCCAGCTGTAGCGGACACCATGATGCCGATGGCCAGCCCATGAGCCATAGCAATGGAGATCAGCTTCGCGTTGAAGTCAACGTCTTTTGTCTCGTTTAAGGAAAACCCTGCAGCATAACGTTGCACATTCAATTACCCCGGGCCCAAGATCCCCATCCAATCATTACAGCACCGGTCAGGCGAAAAAGTGCACTCAGCCTGGTTCTCAAGGGCATAGTCACCGTCCATAAACCTTTTTCTTTGGTCTCCATTTCGCCGTAACTATGGACATATACAGCCATAAAAGACCCGATGCATGCGAGTATGCCCTCAAATCAAATGCGTGTGTATGTGTGTATGTGTGTAGGAGTGTAGGTGTGTACGTGTGAAGGTGTGAAGGTGTGAAGGTGTGTAGGTGTGTAGGTGTGTAGGTGTGTGTGACTGAGTGATCAGAGGGGAGGTTGAGGGGAGCCTATGCAGCAGAGAGGGTGTGTTGGTAAACCAAGTACTAAGGAAGAGCTTGCTTTGGATTATTAAAATAATAAATAAATAAATAAATAAATTAAAAAAAAAGAAGGATTGTTGAGGTAATAAGAATTCAAAAACGGGGGTGAGAATATCATAAGGGATAGCGAAGAATAGACGGAGAGCAGAGAAACAAACACAAGGGAAAGAAGGAAGGCACACAACACAGAGCAGAGGCAATCCTCAGTGAAAATGATCTTGGCATCGTATTTTGGCCATACAAGACTTAAACTTCAAGTTAGGCTTGAGAGAAAACTCAGGCCTTAAAAACGTTTTCAGTCTGGGTCAGACTTGGGAGAGAGAAGTCACTGTGAAGGAGTCGGTCAAAATGCTTTCCGAGGAAAGATCATAGTCATCCAAAAAAAAAAAAAAAAAAAAAAAAAAAAAAGATCATAATGATTGTCATCCTACAGCTACCACCTGATCGAAGTTGCAGTGCAGTCCACACATTTGTGTCCAAATGCAGAGTCAAGACTGTCCTATACTGGCGCTTAAAAAAATGATTGCCGACACCCTGGGCTTAAAAAAAAAATATAAAAAAATATTAAAAAAATAAAAAAATCAGACTGGCGCTGTTATATACATTTACTGGTGAGATGCAGGCCCTCCGAGTCGGCAGACGGATGGTCCCAGAGTCCCATACACCCCCTGGCCGTGGTCTTGACAAGCTATAATTCTGACAGGCTTCTGGTCACCGATGAATGAGTCAGACTCGGAAGCACCTACCTTCACAGATAACATGTTTAGATGAGGACGGCGAACAGTACTTTGGCATTATGGTGGCAGCGCGGCATTCTTGTTGGGGAAGGTGCTTGGGTAGAAGGAGCTGTCTGAGAAGTAACAGAGCAGATCAACCGGGAAGTGCTAGAGGTGTCTGCTCCTACCGGCACCCCTAGCATTGAATCGGGTTGTTTCTTATTTAAAAAAAAAAAAAAAAAAAAAGAAAAAAAAAAAAGAAGAAGAAGATAAAAAAATCCCAAAATTCTGAAAACAAAGTATGTTATGCAGACAACTTTTGCCTCAGGGGCGTGGTCACACTAGCAAAGAGTATCGGATCGAATGCCTGCATCTGAATGTGTTTGTAGAGAGGTGCGGGAAATCGAGATTGAACTGCTTTTCTGCATCTCTCTGCATAAAACACATCCAGATTCAGGCATTCGATCCGATCCTCTTTGCTAGTGGGACCTCAGCCCAGGTCAGGACCCACTAGAGACGTTTTACAACGACTTGCTGACGATTTCAATCACATGCGGCCTTTCGTGACACATACAGTCCGTGGATGGAGATTGATATCCACGGCCCACGGGCGGCCTGTTTGTGAAAGGGTGAAGTTTCGTGGCCAGGTGTCAACCAATCCGCGTTCTAGAGAGGATTAGTACTTCTTTTGAATTAATTTTTTTCCTTCTCAATTCGAATTCCACTGTTCATCCAATCCGCGTTCTAGAGAGGATTAGCACTTCTTGTGAATTTTCCTTTTCAATTCGAATTCCACTGTTCATCCGTTGTTGCATTTTTGCCCATTTTTGAGGTGGGGGGTGATTTTGCAACGTTTCCTTGTAACAGTTGCTTCCTCACTGCTCTCAGCCTTCATGAGATCTGCAAAACAGAAAAATGACCTTCAGAGGACGCAGCCCATTGGGTGACCGAAGAACTCATCCTCAAAAACAGGAGACGAATTTGCTGCCTCCTTGCCCATTGGGTTGACAGGAGAAGCCAGAAAATGCTCTTGCTTTCTTTAATTCACAGAAAAAAGAGGTTTTGAAATCTGCAAAACGCAGGATAACCTTTTTTTTTAATGCGAAAACAGCGTCACAACATAGTGGGTCCCAACCCCAGAGGGTCACATCAAAATTCTTTAATAAAAAATACAAATTATAAAATTGTTATTATTATTATTATTTTTTTTTTTTTTTTTTTTTTNTTTTTTTTTTTTTTTTTTTTTTTTTTTGACAGACAACTACCCGTCAGGCTGTAGGAGTGTCTGGTGGGTTTGAGTCTGCACTGTTTGATGGCTCCCAATCTATTGGTGGGGAGCTGCACCTGTTGGAAAGCGGGTCGAACGTCCTAACCACAAATTATTGTATCCATAGTATCCAAAATCATTGATGAGCTACAAAAGGGAATGAGAACGGTGGCCGCAAATTAGTGCTCATGTTAGCGCTAATCCCGTTCGTGTCCTGACGGCGCTTCTCCCAGTACGAGGATGACGACCTAATCTTTCACTGGGGCGCAAACAGCATGACCAAGGTTTTCATGCTATTTAGTTGTGGGTTGCACTCTCGTCATCATCATGATGGCGCTTCCATCGGTGAGTAACGCATGGATGAGTGTTCCATTCTCTGCTATCCTTTCACACCGTTGTGACAGAGTACTTGAGCATGCCAGCAGTTAAGGCAGCACTTGCGGAAGCAGTGTGAGAGCTTGCGGAAGCAGTGTGAGAGCTTGCAATAGCGGTGGGACTGCTGCTGATACGAGCAAGGGCAGGACAGGTCATGAAGAGCAAGAATTTAAGTGTATGAAACCAGACACAGTAATAGCTTAGATCCACTTGCTTCCACGTCCGGCTGGAAAGCTCTGTACTCGGCCATGATACCTGTTGGCCGTTGTTTCCAGGCCCATGGAGCCTGCAGATTATGGACAGCTGGTTTGGTGATTACAGGTGGATTACAGTTAAAAGAGCCTCCACAACCAGCTCCCGAGTCCAGGGCAGTCAATATTGGCAGGTTTTTCCAGTTGTTGATTCTAAAAATTCGTTCTCCCAAGTTTTTCCAAAAAAAAAAAAAAAAAAAAAAACCTGTTGGCCGTTCCTACCTGTTCATTTTCGCAGAGCTAAGGAATAGGATAGAATCTTTGTCGTCGTTGATTTTGACTTACTGCATCCAGCCATTACTGGGGTTAGATTTATGCCCTTTTGAAGTTCCTTTTTGTAATACTTTCAGGATTATTTTCTTCAATGCGCTCATGAGTCATGACTAGTTTAACTCCGACCGCATCAATTGTTCCCTCCGTTCTGATGCATATGTTTGATCTCTCCGTGGAATTTGACTCGGCGCTTCTTGCTGTGACCCTCTATCTGTATGGAACTGTAATTCCAAGGATAGTTTTTAACTTTAGTTGTGACCTGTTGAGCTTCCGCTACTGTTTGCTATTTGTTTCCGGTAAGTAAGGCCAAATTCATGAAGCTTCTGCTACTGCTCCTGTAGGATTTGTACGAGGATGGGTGCCATAACAGGTAGCAGCTCTTGATTAGTTAGATGTTGGCAGTATTTAGGTGCAAGTCTTATAGCCCGGTCATCCCTCTCGTTGTTGGATTGACTCCTTCAAGCCTTGGGTCAGAGGGTCTGGCTTATGAGTGAATTTATGGTAGTGCATCTGCCCTCATCTTCAGGACAGGCCGTACCGTAGGCCGGATTATCTGACAGTGTTAGTCAATGAGTAGTCATATCAGTACTTCACATCATTCTCAGAACTGCCGTGATTAAGGTTTGTCTGTTGGATCAAACCTCTTCTGGAAAACACTCTCTCTGTCCCCCACTTGTGAGCTAGCATCTACAGGCACCGGCACTGCGGAGGCAGTGTGAGTGCCACCGTTAGTGGTGGGAGCGCTATATGCTTGTAGTCAGCAGAAGGGCGACTAGGAAGCAAACTTGAACTGTATCCATGGTGATCCTCTTCATTGATTGTTGTTCTTATTCAGGATCCAAGGATCAATACCTCTGCTCAATAATTACAAACTGATGGTGTACTCTGTGTCCATCTCCTTTTCTTTGGGTGGCATAGGGTGGGAGTTGGTTTGCTGCTCTCCCCCTTGTTGAGCTCGGATGGATTGCTAATTGGAGTTGCTTTCTACAACTTCAATCGGGGGGGAGATAGGTCAGGGCTTCGCCAGCTCGATCTGCTATTGGCGGGTTTGAAGATTGCTTGCTGGGGGTGGACAACGATAATTTTGGCAGCAGAAGGGCGATCTTTTTTTTTTTTTTTAAACAACCCCTGCCAGTGCTAGTGCTGCTGGTACGAGCCGTCACCACTAGCACCCCAGGGGGAGGCTCCATCTATTGGTGGGGAGCATCACCTGCTGGAAAGCGGGTCCAGCGTCCCATATACAAAACATATACAGAGTCAATTGAGAAGTATGGGAAGTCAGAAATTAACAACTCTCTATTAGGAATAATACTTCATGAACAGGAGGTCAATCCTTCCTTTTTGTAGGGGAGTAATCAATGCCTCCGTTCTTCTTTAAGAAACAGGTTAGGTAAGTATATATATAGGATGGAGTGTATTTCTTCTTTGATATCTTATCATTGCATAAATGAATGAAGCTGGTTATGATTCCCAGCTTACACACATCACACACATCACACTAACGTGTGGGATTCCCCCCCTCGTCTGATAGATAGGTTCTCTTTGACATCTCAACTCATCATCGTATACGGAAGCTGGCTTTGAGTTGCAGCTCAATACGTCATACACATTACATCAACGTTAGGGTTTCGTCTGATTTATTAGATCGATCTCGATGTCCCAGTTTGTTTTGGAGATACGGTAGATCAGATGGATAGGGTTCTCCCATCATCTCACATATATTGTCTAAAACGTGCATACA